TATTTTATTATCTGTAGCCACCCTACTGTGCAGTAGTGCACTGGAACTTACTGGTTTTTCTCTATCCTTTTCTTTGCCCCACAGTAGCTATTTTACAGAAAATTTTCAGAAAGAAAATAACTTTTTGTTTGTTTTATTTTGATTTTGAGACAGGGTCACACTGCATAGCTCAGGCTGGCCTTGAATTCACTATGTGGCTCAAGCTGTCCTCTAATTCGTGGTAGTCCTCCTGCTTCAGCTTCCTGAGCACTGGGAGTACAAGTGTGTGCCTCATGCCCAGCAGGAAGAGTATAACTCTTTAACAAGTATTTTTGAGCCACTGAACAACCAGTACCATTTAAGAAGAGATGGTGCAAAAGATTACAGAGCCCATAAAATCTCAGAAATATGGTAATATTAAGCACAGAAACTCAATTAAATGAAGTAAATTAGTCAATCTTTATGTTACTGCTTTTTTTTTTTTTTGGTTCCTCGAATGCCTTCAGGGCACTTTTGGCCAGCTGGAGAGGAGTGAGGTTCGAACTCCAGCAACCTGAGGCTGACAGCTTTGTGGAAGCAGCCACTTAAACAACTGAGCTAGGGCCAGGCCCCCATGTTACTGCTTTGATGTAAACAATTTCTTACTTTATAGATCTGAAAGTGACTGAAATATTCTGGTTTTAGCAACTAACTTGATCCTGCGTTTTGATCTGCAGGTGGATTGGACTCTGAATATTGGAGAACAGGCCCTTGATATATGTATTGTGTCTTTTAATCAGTCAACATCTTCTATTTTTGTTCTTGGTGAGAGAAACTTTTTTTGCCTGAAGGATAATGGACAAATTAGATTTATGAAGAAGCTTGATTGTAGCCCAAGTTGTTTTCTTCCATATTGCTCAGGTATATACAGATTTTTATGTTTTTGATATGTCTAGGCTCTATTGTATATATCATAAAATGACAGTTGTACACATAAATTAGCCATCTAGGAAAATATTTTTATGCAGAAGATGTAATGGAGATTTTAATTTTCAACATTTAAATAGAGGTTTGGTATAAAGCACACATTTGCTTTTGTCATTTACTTTCCTTTAATGACTTATAGAATTTGTGTCCAGGATACTTTAGTACTTTTCATGTCACTGTTGAAGAGGGCTCTTGGAGAATGTCAGCTCTTATAAAAGGAACAGTGATGTCCACTAGAATAACTCATCCATAGTGAATGTGCAAGCATTAGGTTAATGTGTCAACATGGTAGTGAAATTCCTACTCTTTAGGTGAAATGCAAATAAGTGGGCCATTATTTATACATTCACTGCCTCTTAAATGAGTTCCTTCTCATATTGGTAGCTTGACATTGAAAAAATAATTTAGTATTTAAACTTTTTGTGAATTAAAATCAAGATACTAGATTTAGTTTTTCAGATCCCCTAAAATAAATATAATGTCCAGTTTCAAATGAGTGTTTTCTTATGTCTTCAATTTGCAGTTTCTGAGGGAACAATAAATACTTTGATTGGAAACCATAACAACATGTTGCACATTTATCAGGACGTGACACTGAAGTGGGCCACTCAGCTCCCCCATGTTCCTGTGGCAGTGAAAGTGGGGTCTTTGCAGTAAGTAATATGGCTTAATGTGACTTCATTGAAAGCACTTAGTTGGAGTTTTCTAGAAGTTTTGAGAAATAATGGCAAGTTATCTCACTAAAAAATTGAGTGATGCTGTAGTATAATATCAATAATAGACATAACCTTAAGTATGAATTATTGGAAAAGAAGGATCTATGATTAGTTATCACTATTGGTCTTATAATTTAGTATTTTTATCAGGATATCCTTTATAAATTAAAGATAAAAGC